TTCGTGCTTAAGAGGCAGGCGGCTCAGGATTTATGAGTTTGGAGAACACTTTAGGAAACTTAGTCTCGCTAAATGGATTATAGATTCGAGCGCGAATGAACAGAGTCGGAGACGGGGGTGGGGGGTGAGTGAGCGCATAAAGCAGACTTATCTGCGATCTAACAAACTTTATATATATATATATATATATATATATATATATAAATCCTTAGTGTGGATAGACACCCACAAATTTATAGTTTCCCCCCGCGATCTAATTATGTTAGCTGCATTATTAACATGTGTTTCGCTATTTCGGAGATCGGAAAAAACGATGATGAGGGCCTGAAGAACGATTACAATCTTGATTCTAACGCGCGCAGCGCGTTCTCGCCTGCGTCCCTTCCCGCAATTTCCTCCGCAATTCGCCATTCGTAAAAATAAGTTTCAGGTTTGGGACGCGCTGCGCGAACAAGCGCCGACGAGGATATTGCATACTCGTATTTACAGAGGCACAACTGCGCCCGCGTATCCGCGAGTTTCGAGAACTTGGGAGCTTCGTCTTAATGCTAAACGGCTTACAACTTGTGTCGGATAGAGAGAGCATAAAGATAACTGCGTCTTGCGCCGGAAACTATCCGTTTAGCGATGACATATATATTGTTGGAAATATAATTTTCGAAAATGCAGAAAAAAAGAGAGAGGGAGAGAGGGGGGGGAGAGACATACTCGCGTTCGCGCGAGTGATAATAATTCGCGAAGAAACGAGCGGCTCGCATACATCGCATCCGTCTCAGCAAGCGAATAGATAACAAAATTATGTTCTTCGGCCGATTTCGCGCGGACTCTAACAGAATTCCAACCTGAGGTTTAGTTCCAAAGATGCATATTATATCGAAAATTGTCGAAAATCTTTACGAAGGACAGCGCCGTGTAATAGTGGATGCGAATTACGTGACACCCTTAGTATTCCATTCGTCACCTCCTGATAAGCGTGGCTTGCTTATCCCGCGTAATTGCGATCGACGATTTAGGTTGTTCCCTCAGGTGGAGAGGCAACCACAGTTGTGTTAAATAACACGGGTGTGTTGCAGTTGAAATAGATTATCGATGCTCGACTCGGTCGACGTGTATCGGGCCGATTGGCCCGCGAAGATGGAGTTTCGGGAACATCGAAACTTCGTCATAATGTTAAGTGGCTTACGGGGCTCTGTCCGAGAGAGAGAGAGAGAGGGGAACGCGGAGTTTGAGCGTGCCGTTGCCGACTGCCCGCTTAGCGCGCCTGCGGATCCGTTTTAGTAAGTAAAAACATATCCGGGGCATGAGGAAGCAAAAAGGCAAGCGCTGCTTTACTTAAGGCGCACGTCCCGCGACATTTAACTCTTTTAAAACCGTTCCCCTCACAATCTCGGCGGAACGTCGGAGTTTGCGGGAGGATTTGCGCCGCGATAAGTAGAAAAGGACAGGAATAAATAATAACGGGGAGTAACTGAATTAACGAGGAGCAAACCGCGTCCGTGTGGACGACTCGCAGTCGCGATACGCTTACGTTTAACAATAATTTGACGTTGGCTGTTATTATCGCCAAATTTACATACATCTATTTTCGTCTAAGCGAGTTCTCAGAATGCGGCAGTCGGCGGCAATCGCAAATTCTCCCAACATAAGAGCGGCTGTTAAAATGTTAATGTGAAAATTGATTATAAATTGAAAGGAATAAAACTTTTATTCCTTTTATCACTCACGTGATCGAGATTGAGGCTCTTTGCACGGAGAGAGAATATATTTATCATATAAATTCTTTTCAACTGCATCATGTTCTTCAATAATGTAGAAATAGACTCCCAGTAGAGTTTATCTTGCGGAGGAACGTCGTAAATTTGTTAATAGCAGACCGTGTAAATCATAAAAAGCATACGTGAGAAATACAGAAGCAATAAATTTAACATGGAATGTCAATATGTTCCTCGGATTATTCCTCGGATTGTTGTGTACGAAATCCTATAGTAATTTCTACTTCCCGTGCAAATATTCAGTCACAAGAAACATTTCAAGATAATAAGAGCTACGCATTAATCATACTTGCGAATAATTATTTTTTTGAATACAATACGATTCTCAGCTCGATTTTCCGCGGAGGCATATTTAATGAAATGACAACGATATCATTTCTCGCAAGAGGACTAGTCAAGTCGATTGTCCATATTTTGCGAACCGAAAGGAAATAACGCTGCCGGACACGGTCGCTCGCACGAGGTGATCGATCGATCGATCGAGTAGCCGCGAAGGCTCGACCGCGAGTCTACGATTTCGTGGGGAACACCAAAGATAGTCTCGCCCGCCTCTCTGACAACTTGCAAATTGCTTCCCTTCCCTCGCGAAACGATACGCCGCGCGCGAATCGTCCTTTTTCATCTTCTCTGCTTGACACACCGCTTTGACGTCGCTGGATTTTCCAGCCGCGGCGTTCCTTCCTCGCGTCGCTCGTCCTCCCTAAAGGCCCGGGATATCGTTCCAGCGTCTTACCGCGCGCCACGCCTCGCCCCAAGTTTGTCCGCAAGTCAAACTGTCAGGATCGATTGAAAGTTCGCCGGACTGAGCGTCGCCGGACAATTCTCAAGGATGGGAATTGACGGCGGTGCGTCGGCGTCGCCGTGATCCAGAATATGACGAGACGTCCTTCGGCGGGCGAGCGAGAGAGAGAGAGAGAGAGAGAGAGAGAGAGAGAGAGAGAGGGACAGGGGGGAGATTCCTGATTGCTGCAGAATGTTGAAGTTCCCGACGAACGACGAGAAGCCGGATATCCCGCATTAGGATGGGGTATCGATTCTCGCTGGATTTTTGCGCTCCGTGATTACGAGAACTCGCCGACGTGAGCGCACAATTTATCCACCTGCCGCAGTTCGTATCGCCTCTAGGCGGTTCGTTGCGACAACGTATAAAGAATCAAACGTAATAAACGTTGTAGAGACTTCGGCGAGAGACGATACTAGCGTGGAAAATTATCCGGGATCTATGTGGGACATTTAATCCTGATGGACATTTAATGCAGTTCACGCGAGCGGTTGTGTATTAACTTCTGAACTCCGGTAACTGAAGAATAGAAGTGTAAAAAGTTTCACATTTGGAATATTTGTTTCCTTCTCAGCATGTCTCTCATTACAATCAAAGTTACTCTCTTGCTCTTAAGATATACTTAAGATATATGTATAACATAAGATATAATTCATTGAAACTGAAAGAAAATGTGCGAAACATCTACATTGAATCTTCACGCAAGTTATTACTTAATTATACATAATTAATTATATACTTATTATGCACTTCATTATACGTAATCATACGTAAGCATATAATTACTTATTAATTTATAATATAAATGAGTAAATGGAGTAAAATACAAGTGAGTTTCAAAATATCCTGTTTACTCGAAATTGCTGACTCATTACGCACGTGCCTGCACTTTTTACTGCAATTTAGATATGTGATGATAACTTGGAACTCTTCTTAAGCATTAAGCAACAAACTGTACGTTGATAATGTATAATTTGCGCGTGGAACAATACCACGCAGTTACTGTATAACGAGATACAATTACTGCGATAAAAACGATAAGGAAATACGCTCGTTACCGTTGAAGTATAAAGTAGATTAGAACCGCTCGTTCCTTCTGCCTTCAGTGTTAGATTACATACTTGTCTTACCGTAAAGGTGAAAGACGTAGTCTAGTTCAGCCGAAAAAGAACGGATACTTAGCTCGACTTTTCTCCCGAAATTTACGCAGATTCAAGTTAGAGGTGTATCATTTCAAACATACGATTCTAAGAGAGAAGTTTCAAGTTTTGCCGATATTTTCCTTCTCTAATCTTTATACCACACTAGAATTTGATTTTTATTTTTTATTCTCTTGAATTCTCAATTGTGTGCAAAATTGGATTTTCCTTTGTATCATAAAATGTAGCCCGAATGTACTGAAGAAAACGCTGAAGAAATTGCCTACAATTTGTCTATTTCTGCTCCGATTTCAGGAGAAGCAGAGAAGCTATTTTTTAGAATAAGAATAGGGTTCTCAATTGGTATCGAAATCGGATAACCAGGGACAAATCTGAAAATTCTAATCGGAGTATACGCCGTGTTCGGGAAAGTGCAGAGATATTTCTACGCGAGTAGGAGCCGAAAAATCGAAAGATCCGCGCGGTCGAAAATCAATGAATCGCCAATAAAGCTGGGAGTGTCAGGAGTTTCGGTTTGGGGTTTGGGCGAGTCGCCGCGCCGTCGGCGTCGCCGGTCGGTATGGGCTATTTGCAATGGCGAATAGGGGTGATGTAGCGTGGCCGTGGGTAGTGCGACGGAATTCGAGAATGAAGAACAGAAGGGAGATGAGAGGGCTGTAGGCTACGAGGGCAACGAGGACATCAAAGGACTTAGCCGATCGGGTCGCCGAACGCAATTAAAACTTTTCTACTTCCACCGGTTAATTTGTCTTTGTTACCGGCGCGATGGCACGACACTCCCTTTCGTTATGAAGCGCCGCTCATTCGATCCGCTTTTTCGACGCCCGCTGCTGGCTCATTGTCAGCAGCAGCAACGGCCATTGCTACTTCGGCTGTTTGAATATTCCGTCGGAGATAACCGAGCGCGAAGAGAGCCCTTCGTTTGTTCGCACGGCCCTGTTCCGAAAGTTTCGCTCAGTTGTCCTCGTCGATCAACCTTTTTCGAATATTATGCACGCGTACTGTGCATCCGTGGACGACGAATTGTCCTGAAGTAAATTTAGCGAAGCAAGTCTAAAATCCACATTGATAGTTCATTACGTGAAACTTGCCTCAAGTGAGATAATCTGATTTAAATCTAAAATTAAATGCGAATCTTACAGACTAATCACACGGCTATCACACGGAAAGAAGCAACTCCCTTAGTGCAACTGAATTCTCTATCTGCTTGGGCGCAAAACGAAAACTCGGTTATATTAATAATATTTTACCATTCATAGAATTACACAGATGGAAAACAACATTAAATGCTTGCAAACTTTTATTTTATCATTATACAGTTAACCATCACCATGATATAGAATATAGAGATCGAAGATCAATATAAGAACCCAAAATAAATCTTTTTGCCTGTCTTTTTAGTAAGTAAGTATCATACAATAAGCCATAAGACGTCGTCATTTGTTTCGTATTGAAATAGAAATAGTACACACTTTCTTCAACTCTTAAGAATTTAAACTCATTTTAGTTAAATAACATTTTGAAAATAAAATTCATACGCATTTTATGATCAAATTATGTTTATATATTGTTATCGTTGTTTGGATATCACTCTGGTGGCGTAATTTTGGCGTTGACATTTAACGGACGTATCATCCTCACAATAATCGAATCCTGTCGCTTGTTTTACGATATGTTTAAACATGTGCTCTAGTGCGGATCACAGATGCGGATAATTTTATGAAAATTTTGTTACATTCCTCTTTTAGACATAATTTTTCACTTAATTAGAAATTCTGCATTCTAGTCTTGTAATAGTTGAAGTATTATGCATATTTCCATCAAATTAAAACAATTCCCTCATTCATTCATTTTTCTTTAATTTCACCTATAGATCTTATAGATCTTCCTCTTCTTAAGCTAGCTGGAAATTAATAATTTGAGGCTTGAGGAGGAGAAAAATATACTTGTTAATTAATGTATTCCTTTATAGGAAATATATAATGTAATAAATGGTAACTCATTCTTATATTATAAATTCCTTCTTTTACCTTTCTTTCATAGCCGATTTTTATTACGATTGTATAAATAAAAGGAATAGAAAATTTTCGAAAATAAACATAATAAAGAAACATAAAAAATTAAATTAAGTCAAAATTCTTTTATATTGAGAGATCGTAGAATTATTTGAGTTCCATATGTTAAAATAACATGCCCGTACATAATCAGTTATATTTACATGACTATCAAAATATTTGTATTACGCGTCATACTACGTATCGTATTCTAAATTTTATATCATATATCAGAGTCTATACATACCGCGTTTTAAAATACCACCTTAATAACATAAGTTACCATTTAATAACAGATTTATATAATTTATTACATACAAGAATTAATATAAAGTGAGCTGCCATCAACAGAATATAGGCTGAGTATCATCAGTGCAAAACATAATACGACCTGAAAGAATGATTTATGTGAGGAAAATATGAAAAGAAAGAGCGGACAGAGAGAAATTTTATTTTTCAAATACTCTCGATAATCAACATGCAACATTCTTACTAGCTACATGACATTAGGTGTAATACTTACAATAAACTTCGCCGAAGCCATTTTAAGAAGAATCTTTTTTTCTGCGGTTTTAGGAGTTGAGGTAAAGTTTTTTCCTTCGAGTAGTCAATCGAAAGATGTGTAAATATCTTTACTAAAAGACGGATAAGTTTGTATCTGATATTTCGCTTTCAATTTTTACTACAATGTTATATGTACGTGGATCGCTCAAGTAGAATCGTCATGAGAACTGAAAAGAGAGTGGTATTTATACATCAATGGTAACGAGCATATTCCTTATCATTTTTATCGCAGTAATTGTATCTCGTTATCGCAACTGCGTAGTATTGTTCCCCACGCAAATTATGCAATATCAACGTACAATTTGTTGTTTTATGTAAGAAGAATACCAAGTCATCGTTACATATCTAAATTGTAGTGATAAACGCAGGCACGTGCATCATGAGTCGGCAATTTTGAGTGAACAGAACGTTTTGAATTCACTTATTTTATTCCATTTATTCATTTATATTATGAATAACTGAGTAATTATATGCTTATGTTTGATTATGTATAATTATGTAATAACTTACATGAGAATTCAATATAGAAGTTTTGAATAATTTTTCTCAAGATTTAATAAACTTTATTTTATATTATATATATATCGAGTATATCTTAAAAGGAGGACAGTAATTTTGATCGTAATGAGAGACAAGCTGAGAAAAACAAATATTCCAATGGTGAAATGCACGTTTTAAATCTTAATAATAAAATAATAAATATAAGATAAACGTAAACAAAAAAATGTATATCACATGAGAAATTATTTATTGTTTTGCTGATATATTTCCGATTATATTTCAAATTCAAAGATTATATTATGTGAGAAAAATATTCTTTTTTTTCGTTTTTCCTTGTTCGCCCCTTTTTCTTTTTCTTTTTCTAAAAAATGCCGTCGATCTATTGTTGTGTATACCTTTGAAGAAAAGTACACAATTGTAATAAAAATGTTGAATTTATTCTTGCTTCTAATACCTTTCATACGAGTTCTATATTGAATTCTCATGTAAGTTATTACATAATTATACATAATCAAGCATATAATTACTCAGTTATTTATAATATAAATGAATAAATGGAATAAAATAAGTGAATTTAAAATGTTCTGTTCACTCAAAATTGTCGACTCATAATGCACGTGCCTGCGTTTATCACTACAATTTAGATATGTAACGATGACTTGGTATTCTTCTTACATAAAACAACAAATTGTACGTTGATAATGCATAATTTGCGTGTGGGAGAATACTACGCAGTTACTGTATAACGAGATACAATTACTGCGATAAAAATTAAAGGTATATGCTCGTTACCATTGATGTGAGTATTGCATACGAGAATCCGAAATGGGCATTCGGAGTGTTGAAAAACAATAATGATCACAGTGAGGTCAACGGTGCGGAAAACGATGTGTTTACGTTTGGAAGATAGAGACGCGGATCATAAAAACGATAGAGGTAGGCAGTTAGTCGCTGTTGGACGCCCGAAAGAGACGTGCCATCGCCGCTCGTGCAGAAGGTTGGTGAGTGTTAATCAAATCATTGTTTTCTAATGTTCATCGGGTGACCGGTGTCGAACATTGTTCCCTTGTACAATTAATTGATTTCTCTTAATTCCGAATATCGATGTCGTCGTGCGTTTCCCCTACGACACCTGTCCGAGTCAGATGTTTTCTTGGTCACTAGACCGGGCTCGTCGTGCGTTTTCCCGGGGAGGGGGGCGGGGGAGAGCCGGTATGACCTAAGTGATCTGAGCCAACAACTGAGAAGGACATTTCGTGCGCTTTCCCTTGATGTCCATTGTATCTCTTGATGCTGGATGCTGGATGAGCTTCAGGCTCGGATACGTTGGTGATTTCCTCGTGTGCTTTCCCTTGGAAATCTCCGACGTCCGCCAGCGGTTCGAATGTGCGCATACCTCATTCGGATCGCCATTTTTAATCAATTATCGCGTGAAGTAATTGCGCAAAAACCTGACTCGAAGGTGTTCTGACACTCGGTGCGTCTCCTTATCCCGCTCGACCGCCACCGACCGTCTGAATTATATTATATATACATATATCGTTATGCTATCTATTGTTTTTTTGTGTTTGCTACCTCGAACTGCTCGTCTATTAATTCGGCTCTTAGTGTATGCATAAGGCAAATAAACAAAAGAAGGAGGGTCATGTCTGTACGGACTCCCTCCCATGTTATTTATATATCCTATACGTTACTCTTACAATTATTACATTATACAGAGAAAATTGTTTTTCTGAAAATTCCATGGGGCCAAAAATCGCCTTCCAGATATAATTCATTGAAACGTCTTACAGAGGATTTAATGTTGTGAACTTACGGAATTTTAAGCTCTTTTCAACGACGTAAATAATCATGTTTTAAATTCATTCGCAATAAACATAATATGTGCATGCTATACCACGAATTTTACAGACTAATCGCGATCATACGGAAAGAAGCAACTTCCTTAGTACAACTGATTTCTCTATCGCTTGGGCGCAAGACGAAAACTCGGTTGTTTAAGAACAGAAAGATCTTTGCGGAAAGTTTCCGTTTCTACTCTGTCAATTGTTCTCAGTTAACTCAAGATGACTTTTTAAACAGCTGAATTCGCAGACGAATATTTTCTGGCGCGATAACATAGATAAGATAAATGTCCCAATTAGCGACAGCGTCGCAATCTGTAAAATTTGCACCGATTCTCTTTGGTAAATCACCTACAGTAGAAAAGAAAATTTAGTATCTTTAACGAAACTGTTTGGTTTAGGCATTTTTTAATAGCAACCAAATATCTTGTTTTGTATAACAAAATATTTAGTTGTCTCAACTAAATATATTTTTTTACTTTGTTCTCTGGACCAAATGATTTTGTTCTTAGACTTCATATATAAAAATTAAGCATTTTAGTTATTTTATCCATAAAAATTACATAATAACGAAATATTATTTCACATAAACTAAAATAATGGATACTATTTTGCCTTTCTGTGCACTAAAATTTAGATTTTATGTATTAAGAAAAGATTATAGTATTTTTAACAAAATTCATATAGTTAAAGTTTTTTGGTTGCTATAACAAAAGTATTACATTATACGGAACAAACCGTAACCAAACGAGATACTTGTTTACAGGAACTAAACAGTTTTATTGGACATATTTTAGCCAAATTATTTTGTTGTTACAACAAAATTTTGGTTCACGCAACAATACATTTTTCCTAGTGTAATATGGTTTATTCTAAACATGTGCTCTTATTCTAAATTCGATATATTATCAGTTATGACAAAAAGTGCGTGTCGGATTTAATGTTAAAAATTGAATATCGCGTAATGCTAAAAAAGAAAAAAATAATATTCCGTGAATCACCTAACGTTGATTTTAGCTCGTATTATCCTGTGCGATCAATTAAGTTTAAAATTTCAATAAATCGACATGGAGAAGATAAGAACATTCGCACTCTCGCTTTTTTACGTGAATATTTTTCTAGTTAAAATTGGTTAGTGAGCTCTCTATAACGTCCTGAAGTGAGTCAGCAACTCGACTGTTCAACTGTTGCGATAGGCATTGATATTCACACTTTCTCGCGTGTCTTAGCGGCGGTAATAAATAGAATTTTATTTGTTCGTCCACTGCACGGAGGGCAGAGCTTGATTGAATTAACATGAGAGTGACGGCGCAACTGAACGCAAAAAAGAGCTTTGAAGAGCCCGAACGGGTCGCGCGCAGTGTGATAAAATCAAACGCGAAATACGCCGCTGTTTGATTTCTCGCAAGGTCATGAAATTTACTTCATTCTTGTTATTATCCCGGCTGGTCGGCCCTATTTCGGGGCTTCTTCAGGGCGGTAAATACAATAAGAGGATAAACACCCCCTCTGAGTGTGTGGAAGTGTTTATTTGTGTTTACCAGTGAAGAGTGTCTGGAAGTAGAACCGAGAAGTCTGGACGGTAATGAGGAAATAAAGTATATTTCTTGACACATTATATGAGAAATCAAATATCAACGTGTTCTCCTTCGACTCGAATATCAGCGCAGCCTTTTCCAATAATAAATAATTTCACACAACTAAATGCGTTTCGATCGCGCATCTGTCGCCGTCGCGGAATGGAATCGAGCGATACAAATTTTCCTCGGCTTCTTCAAGAGTCGATTTCCCTCGCCGAGTGAATTCGCCGGCAAGCCAAGGTATTTTTTCGAAACCCCCTCCCCCCTCCCCCTCCCCCCTCCCCCCTTCGGCGCTTCGACGAAAGGGCCGACGCAGCAGCAACGCGCAGTAGCAGCACACCCTGCTGCAAGCGCAATCGATATCAAAGTCCAATTTCTTCTATATCGTCGCTGTCGGTCAGCGGGCTGCTCTCGGCGGCTGCTCTCGCTCCGCGAATCCCCTTCTCGCGTGAGAAGCGCTTTTTTATTCATTAGGGCGCAGCTGCTTGCCTTCGGCGACGGCTGGTCCTTGCCGAGTCCTGAATATTCGCGATGGAATGAAGCGCCGGCGCTCTGTGTTTTGACGCAGAAACGATAGACGGAGAATCGGCGAAGAGCCCGAAACTTCGGAGCCGCGCCAGATGGCTGTCTCTCTACCCTCTCGCTGACGGCGAGCTTCTTGTCGAGCGCTCGGCCAAAAATCGCTTAGCCCAGACGGACAAGCGGTCGATAAAGAAACAAGAAAGGAGTAGCCGGGCTCGACACGCGACGTAACATCCGTTCTTATGCAGCGCCATTTCGCTTTTTCCTCCCGCGGCGCGAGCCAATGAAAAGCCGTTTGCGCCGTGTCCAGGTCCTTCAGGCGACTTCTTACACACTCCGCTGCCCGATAACCCGACGAGAGAGACACCCCGACCCTCTTCGTTCCTATCGCCTTCCGGTCTGGATCGGTCGCGAGCCTGCCGAGGGGTTGCCGTGTCCAAATGTGGGCGGGATGAAGGACACCGGAGAGAGATATTTTTGCCCTGATTATCTTTCATCCATCACTCTCGCCTGTTTATTCGACGTTGAAAATAAACGCCTGGCGGTAGGCGCGACAGGGAAATCGATCGTGCACGCACACGTAGCCGAAGAAAGTGAAAATGCGCATTGCGGACCGCGTACGCCAGGAGAGAACAGGACCGCTCCCACGTCCTCCGTAGGCTCTCTCTCTCTCTCTCTCTCTCTCTCTTGAGAGCGAGGAAAAATTATAGATA